CATCCAATTAGATTGAATTTGGTATTGATGATGATTCAAGACTAACGTAATGAGCCAATTTTTTAAAATGTAGGGAGTAGAAAGTACAGATATTTGTGTAAAAATGTAAGGAGTAGAAGTAAAAAGTCGCCATAAAAATAAGTAGTAAAGTAAAGTAAAAATATCAGAAAAAACTACTTGAGTACAGTAATGAAGTATTTGTACTTCGTTACTTCCCATCTGTGAAATTAATAAATGTCAGCAAAAATGTAGAAGGAACAACCAGGTTATCAAACTCCTGACAGGTTAGCGGGAAACTTCCTGGTTCCTTTTATAGGAGCAACGACCAACTGGAGGTTGGGCTCTTTTCTCACATCCAGTGTTTGCTGTTTCCTCCATATTGGATTCTCCATTCCTTCTATGTGTTGGTAAAAACTATGAAACCAGATGCGGAATTAGGAAATTTGGGGCCCTAGGCAAAGACAGGCAGGGGGCCTCTTCCCATGGTTTGTTCAAATGGTTTGCTGCTGTCTGTTTGGACCTTTCTGAACATGTGTATGGCGTTGCATTTACGTCATAACCAACGCGAGCAAAATAAATATACTCGCATGTGTGTTAAACTACTTCTGCGCATGGTTTATCTACCGCTGCGCGAGAAACTGATGCTTCAAGAGGAGAAAATCTCTCTCCGCGTGCGCCAGCTCCTCTACACGAACTCAGAAACTCTCCGCGAAGACGGCCGCCCTCTTGAAAGCGTCTCTGCGCTCGGACCGATTTTCTCCTCGCGCGGAGGAAAAGTGGTTTTGACAGGTTGGGCGGAGACAACTGTAGGCCTCCTCCTGATTGGGCCTTGCAGACACGATCTCACAGGAAGTAGTGTCAGGAAGCATTTGACTGACAGCTCGTCAGTTAAGACGACGGCTCGAGGCGGGACAGTGACGCAGCGCCTTCTACCGCGGCGGTAGATAAACCATGCGCAGAAGCAGTTTAACAAACATGCCAGTATGTTTATTTTGCTCGCGTTGGTTATGACATAAATGTAACGCCATACATGTGCAGCAAATGGACTGATCCAATATGGTGGACACTAATTAATGTGCACAAATAAGGAATAGTTGTATTAACCATACATGGAAACAGAGTTCTAATGGGCCCTCGGCACCTGCCTAGCATTGCCTGATGTTTGAATGATTTCAGTGCTACCATTTAAAAACACTTTAGTAGAAGTTAGAGGACCAACTTCCTGAGGAGAGACTCACCGGAGTTGGTCATGAACTCAAAGGGCCCGCTGAATTCGCCGTAGCCGGCGGCGGTGCGAGCACGCACGTGGAACACGTAGGAGGTGAGAGGGGTCAGGCTCTTGATGTCCGTGCTTCTGGACGACGTCTTTATGATGCGATAGCTCCTCTCGTTCTGGTCCTGAGGAAGACGAAGAGACGATAGCCGTCGGTGTTATTGAAGTTTGATCTGTGGGAACCAAAGGGGGCCTTGATTAAAAAAAACTCACCTTCTCGTAATACTTGACCTCATACTCCAGGATGACGCCGTTGGAGCGCTCTGGTGGCTGCCAGGCCAGCGAGATGGTGTGTCTGGTGATGTCCTTTGCCTGGATGGAGGTCACTGGAGAAGGAGCTGATTAAAAGACAGAGAAGAAGTCAACCTCACTAACTGTAGCAGATAGGAATCACTTTGGGTTAGTTTGTATAAAATGGCAGAAATCCTCACAATGGTGAAATATTAACAGCCTTTCTAGTTATCAACATGCTAACATTCCCCCGCCTTGCTATCATGTCTGCCTCTATTCCACCAATCAGAGACTCACCAGCAGGAAGTTCGTTTTTCTGCTTATTTTAACTTTTTATCTGTTGTGTCAGAGACAGAAATCAGTGATAAACGAACCACGGCTAACTGCTAATGCTTCCGAGAAAGGTGGCTATAGCGGTTTTCCAAAAAAGTAAAAAAACAAAAACAATCCTCTGGACTTTCTTTCCAAGTTTGAAGACGTTTCTCTTCAAAATGTCAGAAATAGGGTTTAGTTCCAGGTTTTATAGAGTGGAACAAAAATAAAACTTTGTTTTTGTTTAGAAAACATGGAAATTGAAGCAGAAGAACTGGTCCACCCCTTTGGAATGGGGGTTGTTTGGCTTCTTTTGTTAGCCTGCAATGCCCCATACCTGTCTATGTCTCTGAAAGGGGGTTTTTTAGAGGGAATAGTTTGCCTGGTTGAATATTTGAGGTCTTCTATTTCCCTGTAAAGGTGTTTCGGGTTGA